ACTAAAATATCCCCCACCTCTCAGCTGGCTTCCCAATCCAGACTCCCCTGCCCCTCATCCCCTCCTCCATGTCCCCCCAACACTTCTGCTAGGGTCTGATTTCTAATGAGCAAATGTAAGCAGGTCGCTCTGCTGCTAAATGCCTTCAACAGCTTCTATCAACGTCAGATCTTTCGCAAAGCCTAGCATCTGGTTTTCCCCTCTCCAGACTTCTTTCCCATGTGACACTTGAGCCATAGATGCACTCAGTCAACCTGTCCCATCACCATGCTTTCATGTATTCTTTTCCCTTTGCGCAGAATGCCCTTCCCTTACCTTATATACTTGGCTAACTTTAATCATGCTTCAAGACTCAGCTCCAGGACTCTCCTCCCCAGGAACTTTCCTTGACTTCTCTCCACTTTGCATTAGGGACCTCCTTGGTGCCTGTCTGACCCAGCACAAGTCTCCAAAGACAAGACATTTTCACAGCCATACACCTGCATCAGGTACCTGTTTGTTGTTCATGTGACAGGACTCCCTTGAGGCAGGTACAATCTATTTCTTCTCTGTCTCCCCAGTAACTAGCCCCAAGCCTCTCTCAGCAGGTGCTTAAAAGTCAACTGACTTGATAAGGACTAAAGTAAAACCGAATAAGTCTTTCTTTTTTTCTCTTTGCTCCTGTAGAACACAGCCACATCACTCATCAACAGCGCTGGCCTTTTGAGAAGTCTTTGTGTGTTGCGTCTACACATCATTTCTGAGGACACGGTGCTAAAATGAGGGGCAGGAATGCTCCCTCCCCCAATCGACTTCTGCTCTTCTGTATTTTCTCCTCCTTCCAGGAAATTATGGGAGTATCTTTTTTCTCCTCTCGGCCACCTGAAGGCTTTGCATGAGAGAAGAGGTAAGAGAGCACATTCCACTCATGTTGGCACCGAGGGGAAGGAGGACATAACTGAGTATCGACTCGGGAATCATGAATCTGGGATTCTTCCCCTGGGAAATGTTACAGTGACATTTCTGCAAACAAGGACAACTGAATTTAGAAACCACAATCAGCATATCTGATCCAAACATGTATAAGCAGTAGCCTCCACAGGGCATGTTAAGGGGCGGGGGGCGGGGGGAACTCTCATATTCCTGCTGTTTCCCACTTCTGTTCATTAATTTCTACTTCAGTAGCTAATCCCATTCTTGCTTTACCCTGAGATTAGTCCGAGATCCCTACGCTGAGGGACATCCAATCTGTGCTTTGGAGCTGACTTACATGTTCAGGATGGGTATTTACTATAAAAGGAAAAACAAAGCAAAGCAGACAGATGATGTTAATCCTCTGAGAGCACAAGTTGGTCTACTTGGGAGAGAACTTCGTGACGATCCCTGACAGGGTGTGCTGACACCAAGACAAAAGAGGGAGAGATCGATGTTTGTGAAAATCTTAAAAAGAAGAATGCTGGGCCGTGAGCTTTATTTCACACTTTTGACCCAAGAGGCACATTCCTAAGGGACGGTTCGTAGCCAAACCTGGCAGGTTGTCCAGATGAAAAGGAAGGAATAGATGAACAATGTTTCAGCAAGGTATGCAGAGCTGTTGGCAAGAAAGATGAATTCATACTAAATTCAGCTCAATTATGGTGACTTTTTATCCTTTTCCCAAGGTGTAGGGGGAGGGCTGACATGCATCTTCTGGAGATTTGGAACTCCTCCAAATTCGACCGCAGATACCTTGTTGTTTCTGTATACTAGGCTTTTTTAAAAATGTAGGAAAATAGCAATGCAGTGATGGCATCCCAAGGTGGACCGGAAAGTAGCCTCAAAGGGCTGATAATTCTGCCAGAGGACCTGGTCCCAAGAAAGAAAGAGATGTGAATTCGAGAGGAAGAGCTGGCTCTTTTTAGAAGCTCAGCCTTAGATTTCATATTTCATTTCCCAGAAAGTATGAATTAATTTGGAAACTTAAAACGGGCGTCTGCTCTTGGACGTAGGGATCCAATGAGAACCTCTTAGGCTGGGCATGGTGAGGGCTGCTTCCTGGGTGCGTCCTGGAAGGCCACTCTGGATAGTCTCTGCTGACAGAGTTGAGCAGTGGCCTTTTCGAGAAGACCTCTCCAGGCATAGCCAGGGGGTGGCTTTTTGGATGCTTTTGGACCCTGACTCTGGATGCTTACTGTTTTGGGGTATGGACATGTCTACTGCTTGACCTATCAGCTGAACTGCGAATACACTTATCCCACAAACAGAATCCTCCATTGTTTCTCATGTCCTCATTCAAATATGTTTTGCCCTTTGCTTTGCTATGGACTTTATATTTTGAATCCCAAACCAATTCTTTGGAGCAAGCAGTTCAATAGGTCAGCAGAAGGTGGATATACATAGGAAAGAGTCCACTGTTTCATCCGGTCACCAAATAGCTTGTTTTCTGACCATATCCCTTGGGCCTATAAAGAAACTCTTGGATATAAGTGCTTATCTGCATCACTTTCTGACTGAAGAATCTCTGAGGAGACAATTCTTATCAATTCTGAAGAAAAGAATAGAAGAAGCTTATATATGGGATATTCCTTGAACTTTGATTTTGACTTTTATTCTAAAACAGCAATAAGAAATTTATTCAATTTTCCTCTCATTCCTCTTTAAAAACGTGCTTGCAGGGTGCCTGGGTGGCTCGGTTGGTTAAGCATCCATCCTCGGCTCAGGTCATGATCTCATGGTTTGTGAGTTCAGGCCTCATGTCAGGCTCTGCACATACAGCTCAGAGCCTGGAGCCTGCCTCAGATTCTGTGTCTCCCTTTCTCTCTGCCCCCCCCCCCCCCTTACTCGTGCTCTGTCTCTATCTCTCTCTCTCATAAATAAATAAAAACATTAAAAGAATGCTCTCATTATTGTTTTCTCACCTCACCATGACAGCACACAGTGAGCATACCTTTAACCACTTTGGGAGAATGTTGAAGGTGTACATTAAGGAAGGAAGGAAGGAAGGAAGGGAGGAAGGAAGGAAGGAAGGAAGGAAGAAAAGTAAAAGGAAGAAAGAAAGAAAAAGAAAGAAAAGTAAAAGGAAGAAAGAAAAAGAAAGAAAAGTAAAAGAAAGAAAGAAAAAGAAAGAAAGAAAGAAAAGTAAAAGGAAGAAAGAAAGAAAAAGAAAGAAAGAAAAGTAAAAGGAAGAAAGAAAAAGAAAAGTAAAAGGAAGAAAGAAAAAGAAAGAAAAGTAAAAGGAAGAAAGAAAGAAAGACAAAGAAAGAAAGAAAAGTAAAAGGAAGAAAGAAAAAAGAAAAGAAAGCAACCCTCTTATAACCAGACAGGACCAGCATTCCTCTCTAGGAGAGGTCTGTATCCTAGAGAACGGCCTTCCCACAGGACCCTCCTCGCCCTTGAACACAAAGGCCAAGGCCTCCTTCCCTCAGTTACCAGTTAGAATCGCACATATGTTTTCTCAGAAACGTGCCGCCAGACACTCCACTTCGCCTGGGAAGAAGCTAGTCCAGAACAATGGCTGACCCTGCCTCCCTTGGTCCCTCAGGTGCTCCGGTGCCCCAGTGACAGATGCCCTGCAGGCTTACCTAAAGCCTGGCTGAGCCTCACCTGCTACCCGTCACCTGGGGCTCAGCCGCTTGAGCACACAACCACGTAACGTGGACTCAGAAATGAGTTTTGCTACATCTCCAAAATTATGACACATTCCCTCGAAAACTGTGAAAGAGAAAGAGGACACACATCCCCTCCATGCCAAAATGAGCCATTGTTTGTGCTGCCTGTTAAACACCTTTAAAGACCCACTTGTATCAGCAGAAGAACAGCATCAGGACACATCCCACTCACTCTGGGCATTCATCACGGGGTGGGGGTGGCATGGGGAGCACACAGGCCTCCAGTTGAGGGAGAGGAACGTTTGAGGAATGCTCTTCATTCCCCTAGTGGACAGGCTCCGTGTTTCAGCCTGGTACTCTCTCATAGCCGGCCCCTGGGTGGTCAAGGGCGTCTTTCTGTGCCACACTGCCATTGCGGAGAGGGGACTCGGTAGACAGCCTCCTTTGTCAACACTGATCCTTCTTGAGGGGAAGGTCAGAGACACAAAACCTCAGCACCGTGGATGCCAGCAAAGGGGGTGCTCCCAGACCCCCCCCTCAGCACTGTACTCCCAGAAGCATGACTGGTTATTGTTTCTCCATCGAAAACATATTAGTGTGTCCCTGACGAGCATCTTTCCCTAAGGACTTCCCAGACCTTGAACAACTTAGCATCTAAAAATACAAAATGCACGTATCCTCTTTGAACCTATCACGGGTAATTGGGAAGTCTCTGTCTCCTGATGAGTATCGTTAAGAAAAGGACAGATTTACAGGGCAATGTACAAACATTTATTTATGCTGCACAAAAAGGCCTTTATCACCTGTATGCAAATCTGTTATCAGGCTTAAAACACTGTCAGAGATTCTCAGTGGTATTTTTTTCATGTCCCTTAAACAGATGCAGAGAAAAGAATTTAAAAGTTTCTTTGGATATCAAAGGAAAAGGGAGAGAGAAAGGAAGCACTACTATGATTCTGCATTAAGAAAGACCTCAAAAAAAAAAAAAGATCCTGTGGTTTGTTTTGTTACATTATTGACGGTTCCCTGGCCACAGCAAGGAGGTAGAAGGCTGGAGTAGCTGAGCGCCTTTACAAACAGGGCAGGCTGAGAAATGTATGTGCAAACAGTAGATCCTATCAGTTAGCTGTGACTCATTTAACTGCCTGCATTAAAGTCCCTGCATTAAAAAAAAAAAAAAAAAAAAAAAAAAAAAAAAAAAAAAAAAAAAGAGTGTTGACCTCTCTTGCTCTGGCTCCTGCTTCCCAGGCTTCCCAGGAAGGGGAATCCCAGGAATGGTTAACCCTGAAGCTCTGCAAGGGATGGGTCCAATGCATAAGCCTGGGGAGAGGACTGGGCTCCTCTCTTGCTCACTATCTGCCTCTCTTTTTACCCTTCTAACTCCAAATAAAGGGGCCAACTCTGTTCCCAGTGGTTTCTCGTTCAGTCACTCACCTTTCATACCACTACCTTCTTCTTGGAATGTGTTACGAGCAGTGTTCTGATCTTCTAAGTGTTCACTCCCACCACTTCCTGAAGAGGCTACACTGCTTTGTGGAGACAGGGGGGCATGATCGGATGGGAGGCACTGGGGTCCTCTAGCTCGTAAGTCCTCATGAGACATCCATCCATGTCCTAGAGGCTGGTTTGGCACATTCATGGGTGGGGTAAGGGACACAGATCGTTTCAAAGGGCTGTGGTGTGCCTGGCCTGAGAGAACTGGAAAAAAAAATAAAATGAAATAGGTTATTCCCCCCCCTTTAGCCTGGGCCACAGAGAACCCACAATACCTTTTAACCCTGAGAGATGATGCTAACCTGTCTGACGACTCTATCGGTGGTCACCGCAGGCTGAATACAGGCCTGGCAGGGGCTTTCCCTTCAAGGGCTGCTGTCTGGACCTTGTGCTGGGCTGGGTTTCCCCAGGGAGGCTATACCTATAGTGCCCACACATCTGGCCTTAGGCTTTGTGGGTCAGGGTCTGGTTTTCATTCTAACTCTAGAAATCAGGATTTGTGGCAGTAGGCCTATAAATCAGGTGAGGCTTGACAGCCTGGCAAAGTGGCCATCTGCCAAGAGTAAAAAGAACATACGCTGCACATTTTTTTTTTTTTTTTTTTTTAAACACACAAAACCCAACATTACCCGTGTCATTAGGGTGGACTCTTAGAGGGCAAGGGAGGCTGGTTACCATTTGGGATCTTTGCTGGGCTGAGCTAGAGGGTGGGCTAGTCCTTCCGACCAGGAACCAGGGGAAACTATCAGCTCTGGAAGGGTGCAGGCTCAGCGAGGGCTGCCGTACTAACCCGGACCTCAGGGTCCGTGTGGGACACTGGTAGCTGTGTGTGAAAGGGCCGATTCTTTCCCTCGGCTTCACAGGTTAATGCCAAACTTCATCTTGAAAACACTTCCAGGTAACAAGGCTTTCATTCAGAAGCCAGTGGGGTGCGCTCAGTGAGCTGGGGGTGGTTTTTACCAGCATGTTTAACTCGTCCACACAGCGGGCAACATCTGCGTAGCCCCCGTGTTTAATTTCTTTTCCAGAAAACTAGGAAAAAGCAACAAAACTCACATAACTAGCCAAATTAAATGGAGGTCATTCGAGGGAGGGATTTAACCAAAATCAATGCCGAGGAAGCCGACGGTACCCTTGGTTGGTTTTCCTGGGCGTGTTAAGTGACAGCTTCACAAAATAAGTCTATTCATAACATTCTCTCCAAGCACTGGTCCCTCACAGGCCCAGTTTATTTTGACTGCTGCAGCGCTAGCATGGAATTGAGCCACATGCATTTTTAAACATTTTTCAGGGAAGCCATTAAGTTCCATCTCAGGCCGTATCCCCTACAGTGAGGTATTTGCTCCCCCAAGTCCAGACAAGCGCTTCTTTGCTGGTGTTAATCTCCGTGTTTTTCAGTCAGCAGACCTGACATCCCAGTCTAAGAAGTTCTGTTCTTGGTTAAACTGCGTTTCTGGTGTGGTAGCACACCACACAAAGACCTGGGCAGTAGGTTACCTTGCCTCGAACTGAAAGATAAAGACCAGAGCCAAAAGGCTGGGTGTTCCCAGAAAGTGTCTTTGGACAGTGGTGGTGTGGGAAGGTAGCTTATGGTCAGCTGGCATCAGCCGGGCCCCGAGAGCAATGAGGCTCACACCTCTGTTGTCAATGTTTCCATGTGGCTTCAGATGGCCAGAGGGCAGCTTGTGTGAAAGGGGGGCAATCAGAAGGGTCAGACACTTCTTCATGAACAAAATAGGAGGGGAACAAGAGAGCTGCTGAGTTTATCATTTGCAACCTGGGAAATTTCTACATTAGGTAGATTCTATCAAAGGCAAGGAATTATCATTGAACTTTAAAAAACGCAAAGGGAACATTGTTTAAAAAAAATTTTTTTTTGGACCCTGACAGGCTGAAATAGCTTGCCTTTCCACTAAATAGACTAGGGAAGAAACTATTTTAAAAGGCTCCCTGGAAAATGCATTGCTACCTGGTTGGATCAGAAGTAGCAAGAGAAAAAGAAAAAAAAAAAAACCAGAAAGAAAAAAAATAAATAAAAAGGAAGCAGCAGCAAAAATGAAGAGAGAAGCCAACAGGAAGGAAAGCCAGACATCCAGAAAATCCATTTCATGCCTGTCTAAGTATTTATATAAAATGGGGCAGACTTGTTTAGGCCTGCACCAAGTGCTGGGATGGTCCAGCTTAGACATCTTTGCTCCCTGGTACCTTGGCAACCATTTCAGAGTATCTGGTGGATGCTCCGAATGTGCCAGCCAGGTGTGCCTCAAGCGGAAATGGGGGCTCCTCTTCATAGCCAGGATTGGAGTAAGCCTGAAACCATAAAAACAGGCCTTGCCGAAGAGAGACACACAGCTTTGAAGTGCTTTAGCACCTAGTCTGGTTAGAGGTGACAAGTAAATCTATAATCATGGGTAGTAACCCTGCTAAGAGAGTCCCCACCTTTGGATACTGAGAACAATACCCCACATGTTGAATAAGCAGTTGAATTCCATTGTTGGATGGAGCCAATTTGCTTCTTTCCCCCTAAACTTTTCTTAAAAGCCACACTGCCTCCCCATTGATGGGCATCCTTGGGGAGGTTGCCGGTATCCAAGGAATCCACTGGTTATTGAGAATGGAACAAAGTAGGTACCTAACTTAATGGGACTTAAAGGGATATATCACAGAAACCTACACCCATGTCTTCATATATTCCTGAGCTTGACTGATGTCACAGGGGATGTGGTATAAACTTGGCCTCTGCCTCTAATAAAAAAATCAATTATACCTGAGGTGTCAGAGCCTTTTCCCAGTAACCTTCTACTAAAGGCCCCACCCTGTCTGTATCATAAAGACTCCCTCAGCTGGGCACCGAAACAGAAAGATCTTCTTAGGAGCCAACCTACTGTTTCAACCAAGCAAAATGCCTCCCACTAAGCTTCTGATTTGCAGAGAGGGCCATGCATTTAGACCCAGGCTGGATGCCACACCTAAATAAGAGCAGAGTCATGTTGGGCAAATGCCTCATTTCTCCAAGGAGAACCAAGGCCCCAGGCAATACAGGCTTGGCTTCCTGTGGGAAGGAGACAGAAGCCGGTGACAGGTGACCTGCCAACAGTGCCATATTGGGGTGAAGACAGATCTTCAGGTAGAAGTGGAGGCCTTGGCCACAGATCCAATTTTCATGTTACCTCGTGAGCTAGAGTACTTTGTTTGGCACGGACTGGCAGAGGAAATAATAAATGCCATGGGCAGAGCGCAGGAAGACAGGCCACACTGCCATAGAATTAATGAGGTGGCCAGGGGCAGGTTATCGATGGTTGTCCCATCACTCCATTTTTTAACCGAAAGAACTCATCTGAAGTGGTGATAAATGGATGAAGAGGGAAAATGGATATTGAAATAAACAGATAAATAAATTTCCTTTTCCTATGAGTAGGGAGGGAGAGCAGTGAAAACAGTCTTCTGTGTTAGCTGTCCCAGAATGACTCTAGCTAGAAGCAGACCTTTCGAATGTTCTCACTTGTGGACTGCTATGCAGCAGACAACGACCAATGCTCCATTCAGACTTAAGCTGCCCCCAGGTGTATTCGAACATGGCAGAATTAAGTACACCTTGAAAAGAAAGATCTCAGTATAGATTAGAAATTGGCAGTTTCCAGCAGAATTGAAGTCCTAAGTTTACATTGCATTTGTGACTTTATCATAGGTGAGGTGGGGGGCAGGATGTTTCAGAGTAGATTCATTACATTGAAAATCCTACTAAAAACTACCCAGGGGAACAAGGTTGTGCCTCTTTCTGCTCTTGAAAAACTGAAGCTAAAACTTAATACTGTGTACAGTATAGATTCAATATTGCTTATTAATTTTAGAAGGAAATATAGATTCAATATTGCTTATATTTTATTATAGGAAATGTCAAGTATGTACACATATACATGTGTGTATGCATATGTATGTCAATAGAATACTATAATCTAGGGGATCATTTGTAAATTCAAGTGAACCAAAAATTAATAATATCTATCGAATAAGTCTAGTTGAAATATGCAAAACACAGCTAAAAATAATCTTGCTACAGCACTGGAGCTGTGTGATGTGAGTACAGAGGGTCTTCTAATCTGGCAGTAAACTCTGTCATACCATTCTTGGCTAGCCAACTTCTCCGACCTCATTTAACCTCATGATTTGTTTTTCATCTCGAAACTATCTTTAATGAGACTCCTTTCAATGCCTTTTTAGAGGAAAATATGATACCTGGCTCTGGGTTCTGTTCTTTGAAGTATTTTCTTGAAAGCCTGGAAATCAGATTTCTTACCCCTTTCTTTTGACCAACTTGACTTCATCTCAATTTTTAGTTACTGAAGTAAAATTCAGCAAAAGACTTTCGGGGATAGACTCTTTTAAGAAAATTAGGTGTAACTACTTTTTGTGCTTTCTAATGTGACAAATGATAGGGTTTGTAGAAAGAGGAAGTTTTGGGATACTGGCCCAACTATCTCTTTGGTTCACTGTCAGGTTAGGCATTATACCTCACAGCCGAGGAGAGAAGAAGTGATCCCCATAAGCGAACCATCCAGATAATGGAAGCTCCACTGTTACACTGAAACTTAATCCTAACAAACTTTAATGCAGATCTTTCAAAGATACATTGCATACTTCCCTGTTCTACTTAAACTTACACACTGAATGCAATTTATGCATTTCATGCTTTAAAAGGTATTGTTATGGGGTACCAGAGCAGCTCAGTCGGTTAGGTGGCAGACTTGATTTCAATTTGGGTCAAGATCTTGTGGTTCGTGAGATCGAGCCTCATATTGGGCTCCACGCTGACAGTGCGAGGAGTCTGCTTTGGATTCTCTCCCTCCCTTTCTGTCTTCTCCCCCACTCACGCTCACTCTCTCTCAAACTAAAGAAATAAAACTTAGAAAAAAATTTTTTGAATTATTATTATGAACATAGATTCTCAACATTTCAAAGCTGGAAGCCCCCTGCAAGGTAGTTCAATAATTCCCAAGGTATGAACTGTGGACCCCTGGGTAGTGGAAATATTTTAATTTCCCTATACGCACCACACTGTTAATAGATGAAATACTGTGTTGCAAATAATTTTTATATATATGCAGAGTATTAAAATTAATAAAATATAAATTAATTTACATGCTGCTGAATTCATAGCTCTTTTTGTCATTTTTTCTCCTTCCAACAGATTCAAAGTGCAAATC